CACATCATGCCAGACGACCATGCAAACACGAACGGTGCAATGTGTCGGGCAAGCCTGAAATTGCAAAGAGAGGTCTCAGATCTGAATTGAGATCGACGTATGGAAAACGGGGGAGTGAACAAGATAACCCATGACCGTGAACGAGACTCGTAAGGTTTCTAACATTCCTCACGGGGTTGACTCTCCTTGGCAGAAGCATGCTCTGTGCAAGATCAGCAATATCGGGTGCTGTATAAAAACCATTACTTACGTCTGAATCTGGGTGATGTACAAGTCGGTAGAGAGTACCTGAGGGGGAAGGGACTGTGGGCTTTGAGGGCATAAGTGTAGGGACGACCGGCGAGATCGCTGGGGTCCATAACCTTGAAAAAAAATATCAGACACATTCACAGAGACAGACATGACAGGCATAGGGTCTCACCGTTCGNATATCAGACACATTCACAGAGACAGACATGACAGGCATAGGGTCTCACCGTTCGCGACTCTATCACCACCCTGTCCGTACGCCACACGAGACGGTATAAGCCCGCACGCCGGAATGATGGTCATATTGGGGCTGGTAGTTACGCGAAATGCATCCAGAGGAGGGTTGCCAGTAAACCTGAGCTTTGGTATACCCTACTTTGTGATATGCTCCGCGTGCACTCCGGGGCGCCGATGGGCGAGGGGAAAGCATCTATTGCGTTTCCTCGGGCGAGAGTTCACCGAAGTGAGGCTCGTCGCAATCGATCGTGCACAACTGGGCAGAGAAGTAGGTTGACTTGCCAGGTGTGCCGACGCCGACAACGGGAAAGCTGGCAGCCAAGCTGATCCTGTACTCTACTCGGTGGGCAGCGGGCAAGCTCGTGACTCGAAGATCTAGAGAAAAGCAACTCACTGCGCGGAAAGTAGTCCCAAACGGTTATGCTCTCGCCGTTGTACTCTCTGCATATGAACGCAGCGTGCCAGCCGTATAGGTAAGTACTGGGACAGTCTTCACGCGCTTGTACCCCGAGATGAATAGGCGATGCCGCCACACTCGCCACCTTCGTACGCAGGCTCAGCTCGGCAAGTTCGACAGAGGGGACGCAGGTGAGCAGAGGTCCTACACTCGCCACCTTCGCCAAAGGAGGCTCAAGTCGGCTGGATCGACAGGAGGGTGGTACCGCCACGCACGCCATCTTCGCCGCGCGCGTTGCGCTTTGATCTTTACGCGCATAGGCCAAAGTCAGCGACACATTGCGCACGGGTCCTCGTGGGTAGTGTGCCACCGAGTGTCGATAGTCGGACTCGGCTGGTATGAACAGGCGAGGCCGAGGCATCGGGCCGGAAGCCGGACGGTGGAGGTTAAAGAGAAGGCGTGGGGCCACTCGACGCGTTGGAGCGCGACCACGATGATATCGCGACCTATGTTGAGCGTGAATGCCATGTTTCTGGGAGATGACCCAATTGCTTCTCTTGTGTCCGCCTCTGAATACAAGTTGAACTCAATACTCATATTTAATCCAGGCAACAAGTCCCGCGTGTCAATAAATGCGTGCAGTCTGACCGCCGTCTCGCACAGCTTGCTAGCCAAGTGACAGTGTAGGTGCTCGTGCCTCGCGTACGTGCATTTACGAGCTCAGACCGCCCCATCATTGGGAGTCTCATATGAAGGAGGTATCGAGGCGGAGCGCTCATACCGCGTTGAAGGTCTTCGCATCCGAGGCATGAGACCCTGATAGGAGCTGGGCCAGGAGGATGGAACGCGCTCGCTAGGCACTGGAACGTTCGATGGCGCATGCGCGACCGAGCGTGCAGCGTGTGATATATGCTGCTGTTCACGCGTGGAGGGAGAAGGCTGCGAAGGAAGATGACGAGAGCGTCCGGTACGTCAATCTATGATCTACAGTACCATCGTCTATGCCTATGCTAACCAACTTTATACAGCTGCGTTCTTTCAAATACACATCTTCTGACTCCCGCGGACCGCACACCTGCAGCTGTACCCGTTCTACTAGCATTTTCAACAGACACCCGCTCCTATGATACAGCGCCGTGCAAGCGAACTACTCAAAGTTATACGGAAGACTGTCAAGCAAGCGCTAGCTAAGAGCGGTGTGACTGGGGAAGAGTGCCGATCAGGTAAAGGCTGCTGCGAATGGGTGGATAAGATGGACGTCGGTACTCCTTCACCCGCCTCAGCATCTACGTCCGCGCCTGCACCCGCACCCGTATCTGCAGCAGCGTCTGCAACATTGCTATGGATCCCATCCGCTACGACCTTGGGTGATGTGGCATCATCCACACCCCTTTTATCAACCGCCGCCGCCTCGCTATTCAAGCCCCCTACCGCGCCATCACGTCGCACCGCATCAACCCCTCTGCACTCGTCTACGGCCTCATCTATCTCCCTCGACCCTGTCCTAGCCGCATCAATGTCCAGATCCGCAGAACGACTGGCGCGCCCCAGAGCCGTCCGTGTCAAGCTCGCAGGTGGTATGCGCGCACAAGTTGAAGCCGCTGCACCATTACTCAAGCTCGGCCGAAGCCGCGGATCACCGAAAATACCGAACTCGTACATAGGCGCCACAGCCGCACACGCCTACGTTCTACCCCGCAGCGCAACGCCAACGCCAATCCCAGCCTCGAACCGCTGCCAGCTACGCTTGTGCAGGTTGGGATGATTGGTGCAAAGGAGAAACGGAAGCGGCCGACGCAGGCGTCTGCGAAGGGCAGAGGTGGTGAGGCGGGGGATCTGAGGGAGGAGTTCGATGATGCGAGTACATTGCAACTGGACGTCGTCAACCTGGTTCCTGCGTCCGTCATTGCCCGTGGCTTCAATCTCATGCGCTATGCGCTTAGCCACGCGAATCTAGTCCTCGCAGGGCCAATGAGGCCTGCACGGAGAAAGAAACCCGGTTGAACAGGCACATGATTACAAACAGCACACTCAGACGCCAAAATGCTCGATGTGCGCTCCTAGTATATACACCACTGCCTGATGCACAGCGCACACTGCCGGAACACGCATTCCGACGAAGACAAGGTATGATGCGGGGCTGTGCAACTCGGTAGCGCCTGTCGCCAGACACAGACAACCCGATACTTGTCCACACCCGCCACGATGCCTCTATCGAGCCGCCAAAATTCAGCATCCGTAGACGAGGCTTAGCGGGTCCTCGGACACCGACTCACACAATGCCAATATCTGCGCCCAGAGAGGCATGGCGGCCCATCATATCACTCGCTCATGATTCGCCTTCGTTCTCCGCGGTCAACGCCCATGATCTACTCCTCGGCGCGGATGGACAAAATCCAAATTGACGGATACCAGCTATACTTGCACCCGATATGCATAGACGCTTGACATTAGTCCTGAGCGTACACTACGTTCTCCTCCCCGTCAGGCGGAGGCTCCGCTCCGTCATTGTCTTGCCACAAGTCGAGACACCGAGCGCTGCTCGTTAACCAGATGGCCTACTATCGCGCAATCAACAGATGCCATTTGTGCGCTCACAGGACATGTTCTGCTGCAAGCTGTGCTCGGGAAAAGAGGTTGATGTTGCCTTGGTGTGATGCTTCCAGCACTCGAGAAGGAAGCCCCAAACAGCACGGGATGATGTCAAGTGGGGCAGAGGTGAATCGTTCTGGATTCATCCTTCTTAGTACCTCGTTTACGGCGCACCTTACCGCGTTTGGCGCTCCCATCAACCGTAAGAAGGGCGTATAATCAATTCTTCTCCACTGAGAGTATTGATAATGACGTGTATCTACACAATTGAAAGTGAAACTACTAGCTCTTCGTAGAGTTTCCAATGGTATATACTCTATTGAGACGGCTCTTATATCCTATTTGAGTAAGATCGGTGAGCTCAGAGTCTCAGACGGCCTCAGGGATCTCGCTGCGGGGCATCGCGCGCTGACGAAATGATTATGGACGAACACACGTGACCGTGTCCCGGCTGCCCTGTTCCCGCCTGTTCCCGCTCGTATACAGTCGTATACTGCTCGGTGCAGGTTTCAATGCTGCAAGTAGGTTCGGCCGAGCCTGCGAGGCCGGGGCACAGGCTCAGCCGTGCGTTGACGGCGGCAGTTTCCGTCGAGCGATCGTGCGCGCGAGCGCGTGCGGCGCGAGCACCACGAAACTTCTTTCGTCTCTCCTCCATCCTCTCGCATGGGGGCTCACTCTCATTTCCGCGTACTCGCGCCTGGTTTTCAGACCCACCCATCTTCCTTTCCCCCTGTTCTCGTCCGTCCCTCGTTATCCCCTCAGTCCTTCCTTTCCCGTCCTCGTCTCGCATGTAAATATCACACTCGTACATAACTCGCGATTGTATATTTTACATGTCACTTCGTCCCGATTCGCTCATCGCGTCGTTGGCTCTCTGCTACGAGCGAATCGTGGCCTTCGTCGGGGCGGCGGCTCGATCCGCCCTCCCCCCAGCTCTGCGAGCTCGTAGCAGGGGAACTGCCAACGCCAACAGACGAGGCTGGACCTCGCCGCCGGTGCAGGACGGCCAATAGGATGTCCCTGGCACCTCTGGGGCCTAATTGTGTCTAGTTGGCTGACAGACCACTATCAACTCACACTGATCTACCTCTCTCGATCACCTTTCCATATTTGCCGCACCCAGGTCGCCCTGTTACCCATCACCGTCCTATGCATTGTGCAACAGCTGGCAGTGTCATATGACGGCCAGCGTCTTCAGGCGGAGTACGCGCGTGGGTTAGCTCAACGTCATTTGTTGTCCGCGACTTCGGCGGACTACCTCTCTCTCTGAAACGGCTGCACGCGCTTTGGCCCGCTCACGATGTCTGGTCGCCGCTTTATCGATTTTGCTTGCCGTGCGGGCAAGCTAGTCAAGTCAGGCCCGAGGGGCTCACGCCCAGAATACCCCGTGCCGTCCCTCACGCTACCGCTACAGCGGGTACAAGCGGACTTATCATCGCGGCAATAGAAACGACAGCGGCTGCTTGATCGGGGCGCCGAGACTGGGTCGGTCACAATGAAGTATGCGAAGTATGGCAACGCGTGGATGCGCGGACCTCTGGATGGTGGTGAGGACTGCCCGCTAAACCCGGATCGTGTTTACTTGGCATCATCAACTATATCATGACAGGACGGACGGCGATGTGTTCACTCGTACTACGGGACTGACGCAGGTGCGTACTTAGCCAGACATATCGGGGAGCGGCGTACGGGGAATATGGATCTCGAAGAATGGCGGATGGCACGGCGGAATGGGTACTGAGTGTCAGTGTGGTCCGCGTAAGAAGTCGAAGGAGCTCAGGTTGGGACATGCGAGTATGATTACTCTAGCGATACGTGGCATACGAACTTCAGCGTCGAGTGAGATTGGGCGGACAATGCTTGATGGGGAGCTCATCATACTATTTAGTGTACTAGCTTTATGCGAAGCCCCAGTTCGTGCCACTGCGACGTGGACCCGTCCGGTCACCCATGCACCCGTGGGAATGATCGGTCATCAATGCCCGGCATACGACGCCAACCTCATCCTCGTCAATCATGAACGAACTAGTCGTGCGGCAGACCGCTACCTGCTTGGAGTTTCGTAAAACCCGTCACAGCGCTGCCAAAACCTTCGTCAAAAGTCTAGGGCTATGCTGGCACTGTGCCGATGGCCGCACAACCGAATGTGCCTTCTACAGTACGCTTTGGGCTCGCGGTGTGCTAGTCTGAATCGAGATAAACCTCTGACCCACGCGCGCGTTTTGTTAGGAAAGAACGGGAAGACCGTCGAGCAGAGGACTTTTCGAGTATCAGGCAAACCTGAATATCAGCTATTGCAAGTAATACCCCCTGGACACTCCGCCCGCGTCAAAGTCGTATTCAGGACAGCTCCTCCGACCATGACCTACGAGACCATTATGGAGCTGCTGGTGAGGAGGGAGCCTATTGTTGTCGTCAAAGCTGACGATGCGCAGCGAGGTTGCGCATGCGGAATCCTGAAAGTACTAAAACTGCATGCTTCTCTACGGAAGCTCATGGACTCGATTCCCTGGACACCACGGCTTGATGGCCATCGCTCTACATGTGGTGCTTTTGATTTTTAATTCTCGACCTTCGGACTCAATGCTAAAGGTTATCTCGAGCAGATGCGTGCAGGATTTCGCTCTTCTGCGCCGTGCAGATGTGTAGGCTCTGTGCACACGAGTTCTGCCCCGACTGTGTGAGAGAGAAGCGCGTCAGTCTGTCTCTCCACTTCTTCACTTCGATGACATATGGCTGAATGAGGGAGGACACAGACACGCAATATCCTCTGCAAGTGCGCAGGGTACTTTGAGCACGAGCTCGTCCTGTTGGAATTTTTCGAAGCCGGAGAACTGGAACAAGCTATAAAGACTCTGGAGAAAGTACCATCTTCGTATGTCTTGTCTCTGAGGTTACATTCTCTCGCTGAAACCTCGCTTAGCCAACTTTCTCCCCACCGGCTTCCTTCCAACAAAGAGCCTGTCAGGATGGTTTTGTCTGATAAGACGAATCCCCTCACTTACTCCAAGATATACAACGTCCTTGCAGCCGGAATCCCGTTGATTGTGTCTGGCATCAATCCAGGAGAGCGAAACTTAACTCCTCAATACTTCGTTCACAACCACGGCGATACCCGGGTAACACTCACTAATACGAAAACAGGAACACAGCGTGAAGCCTTACTGAAACACTTCATGGCTGAGTTCGAGCAGCCGTCTGATCCTGACAACCCAGAGAAGCTTCAGGTACGATTCACCCTGCGCAGTCTGATGGCCAATACTGAGTCATGGATGTTAAGGATTGGCCGCCGACAGAGGACTTCGAGAAAGAGTTCCCTGAAATATACGATCTCTTTGAAGATTGTCTTGTAGCGCCCTGGGTTACATCAAGGAGAGGACCGCTGAATCTTGAAATGAATATGCCGGTAGACGCATGTCCGCCAGACACTGGTGCGTTCCATTACGTACGTTGCATGCATTCGAGATCTGACCGCACACTAGGCCCCAAGGCGTATCTGGCGCACAGTGCAGCCGGCGGTACTACCACACGACTGCATTGCGATGTGACCGACGCAATAAATATGATGTTTCATGCAGAAGATGGTTCCAAAGGCGGTGCTCTTTGGATCATGATAGATCGTGACCATATGTCCGAGGCCGAGAGGCTACTGCGTAAATGGAAGGAGGGCTTATTCGAAGGCCATCCCGTCCACTCGCAGCAGCTCAACCTTACGGAGAAGGATGTTCAAGACCTAAGAGCAGCCGAAGTTAACGTCTGGACTTTCAAGCAGAAGCCAGGTGACGCTGTTTTCATTCCTGCCGGAGTGGGGCATCAAGTTAGTATCTCACATCTCATCTGTTGTTCTGTTAAATTGATCTTCCACAGGTCACGAATGAGACGGCATGCATCAAGATAGCCGTCGACTTTGTAACTTCCAGCAATGTCGAATTCTCTCAACGCATCAGTCAAGAGCTCCGAGAACATCGCTTGACGACTGATGATAGGGTTTCCGAGGATGTGCTTCAGCTGCATGCAATGTGCTGGTGGACGTATAAGCGCTGCCAACTTGAAAATCTTCTATCTAATGCACGCTCGGATCCTGCATCCGACCCCTGGATATCAAACTACTCTGCTGCCCCTGCTTATGTCCCTGTCTCTCTAGACAGCGGCGGTGCGTACTCTGAAATCTGATAAGATTGCGTTGATGCTCACTAGGCTTCGTAGATACTCTCTGTGAACGGCGTGACTGTGATGGCGATGATCTTGGTGCAATGCTTGACCCTGTTATGAGTGCTTTGGCTGAACCAAAGGCTTCGGATGCACGAGGAACAGAAGCAGACAGGAATGATATCGCGAGTGCGTCCACACTATTCTACGACGTGAGAAGCTTGCATATTGATGTAGACGCTTTAGGGAACCCTGCACAAGCGTCCATGTTTGCAAAAAATACGCCTGTGAATTCCATCGTCCCGTCCAAACGGGGGCATGGCCCCGGCGAGCAACTCAACAAGACCCAAAAACGGCAGCGGAGAAAGGCGAGGTCAAGGCAGAAGCAGTCGCTGGCGGACCCAGACAAGACCATGTATTGTCCAGTGGGTGGATGCAGACGCGCAGGGGAGATGTTCTCGAGACGAAGCCTCCTTAATCATCTGTAAGTCCTGCAGCATGCGCATTACCTTCGTAGCTCACGGTCAACTGATCTTAGGGAGACCACCCACAGCGAGCATGTCTCGTTTAAACACTTGGGTATGACGAGTATCGCGGAAACCACCTTCCGCCAGCAGCTCCTTCAGATGCATCTGGATGACGATGATTCCTTTCTGCAGCACATCAAGACAAAAGTACTACGTTAGTCTGCGTATCATCTGTTACATGCAAGAGGAGTAAATATATTTACGATTGCCAAAAAGCGGAGTGGATTGAACTATTGGCCTTGCCGCATCAGTCTCACAGTCGATAGACCGCGAACCCCAAGAGTGAATGCTATGTCATAGTATGTCGTATGTGGGTTACGTCCGAAAGAATGGGAGTGGATAAACAATCACATAGCGGACGATACCCACGTACACGCGGGTTCCCGATCCGGGTCTGCTCATTGACATTGATACTATGAGACGTCTTGTTGCAAGACCACCTGGATCGCAGAACGAATGAGAGGGTCTGGTGCATGAATCTGAGTACTATGTAACAGAGTGGCGCTCCGCGCCCTGAGCGGCCTGGGCCTGAGCGCTCAGGCCAGCTGGGAATGACGAATGACAGGTTATCCACGCCGATGTATGCGGACCACGTGGGTTCCTGATCCGGGTCTTCTCGACTGCGCTGTGTTGTCTTCGAGCGACGACCATGTCGACATCTCCTTTGAAGATATTGGTACCGTACCGAGGGTGTCGCTTTGCAGAGCAGCTGCAAAGTTGTGCATGTGAACCTCTACCCTTTGTGCGTTGCCCGATCGTACCTTTCTCTTGCGCTTTTCGTCTACCCATCGTCGGTCTTCGACTGGTTTCTTCCCATCTGCTCGTAGCCGGCCTGCCGAGTTTCCTTCCACGGCGGTACCGCGAATGCTGGGTTACCATCCGAGGGCCCTCTCTGTTCGCTGGCAGCACCTCGCGCGAGCTCGTCATCACAAAGAGGTGCGTGATGCTGATTGAACATGTACATAGGTGCCGTTATACTCACCTGTCTCAGCAGTTCCGCAATTGAGAAGCCCTGCACTCTCGCCAAGTCCTCTTGAGCCCTCGCGGATGATTATCGATTTGGATGAAAGAGCATCAACAGCGGGCTGCAAACGTACGCACGCCTTGTGCCTGCGCACAGGATTTCTCTCAGGAAGATGACGTCTTCTTGGCTGGGCGCAATATTCCCACCGACAGAGCTGGAGAAGTGCGCTCTTCGCAAGGCAATGAGGATGATCTCAGCCGCCGGGTCGCACACCGCCGCGCTGTCGAAGGATTCAACGACGCAGATGTCATGGTGTCGAAGCGGGGTGTCTGTCGTGAGTTCGAATGCTCGTGAGCAGGTATGCCGCCGATTGTGCAGACATGCCGAATGGTGCTGATCTGTGTTCTAGGTTGCGTTTGCAAACGTGAATTTGGACAAGAAGGACGAAGAGAAGGATGATGGGAACCCTGCGCCACGCCGCCGCCGGGGCAAGGACAGAGAGACGGTCAGCAAGACCGCCTCGTGTAACTACGAGAGCCTTCTCAAGCGAATTCTCAGGCGCGCTACGAAAGAGAAGGTCGGATCTTTTCTTGCCGCCAACCCATTCCGTTCAAGCTTGCGACGAAGAAAACCAGCTTTGAGGCCCTGCGACTAATGGTCGCGTATGTTGTCTGCGCAATTCGACTAAAGAGCACCCACGTTGTGGCTCGCAGCCCGTCCAGCGCTATCTATAACTTGGTGAGCCCCGTGCTCACATGTCTACGCTCTGCTCTGTACTCATACTGGTACTACCCATCAGGACAGCAAGTTCTCATCAAGTATCGCAAGAGGTTCCTCATTTGGGCTTTCAGTCACCGACGACGCCATTTACGCATACTCTGACAACCCGACCATCATCGAAAGATATGTCAAGGATACCCTCTATGGTACCAAGTTTACCGCGTAGGGTCAACGCGACGCCATGGTACGTATTTCCCTCTCTCTTCAAGCCTCCTTTGTCCTGACATTCGTATTTCGTCACTCTCAGCACCCGACTCAGTCTCGCATGCTGTCTTTCACCTTCAGGGTCTTTACCCGCGCACATCTCCAGATCGAGGGTTCTGTACACAACAAGGCTCTCAGCAAGGAGCTGGCCATAGGTGCTCTAAACCTCTCGGCATTGGCTGTACGTTAGCGCTCTCGATATTATCAGCCTGTGCTAATTCCTTTGACAGGTACAGAAGGCATTCAAGCTATGAGCACTAGTAACCGAGGTGACTGCGATGAGGAGATCGAACGAACACTTGATGGTCTGAACCACAATGGTTACCGTTGGTTCTTCCCGGACTTGTTTCACGAGCTCGAATTTGGTGTCCGGAAAGCCCTTCTGCTTCATCTATTTCGGATTCTACACTCGGTGCAGAGAAGGTGCAGCTATTCAAAAAAGGTGCGTGCTCTTGTAGTCTCTCTTACGCATCGTTCTCACCTCCTGGCTGCCACAGGTCTCGCCAAATCTCGATGCTCAAGAACTCTGCCATCGGGAACTCCGGGCGGAATGCCTCCGATCTCAACCAGCTTGCCGCGCGTGACTTCGAGGACATTCCCACGTATGTCCCTTGATGTCAAACCCGTTCAACGTCATTTATGTATAATACAGTGCTGCATATCTTGCTTCTGCGGCCTGTTCCCCCAATCATGACGGAATGATAGAGGATCTGCTCTATCTTGACGCACACCGCCACTCTCTCGCGAAGCTCTGTCAATACACGAAGACCACGCTCAAGATCTTCGACGACGCCGCGGTACTTTTCCCTAAGGCTCTTCGACGCTTTGCGAACATTACTTGCGCCGTGTTTGACACGGAAGAGACCAGCCGTGAGTATGGATACACCATAACGTGCGCAATCAGCGGCAATAGAAGACCGGAATGACTCAGCGATGGCGGCATTGTCCGGTGAGAAGCGGAAACGGACGTTTAGTCTCACGAGTCGGTCTAGCGCTCGGCTCCTGGGCGGACGAGATGGACAATCTGCCTACAGCGTGTGCGTCCACGCCGATCTGACCTCATCCCTTCAATACTCACTTACATCTTGATTGCAGCTTCGGGCGCAAACGAAGGCGGTCCCCGCGGCAGTGACGACTATTTTTCTTCTCGCCGTGCGTACACACCATATTACTCTGCATGGATGCCGTCTGATGAGGCTATATGGGTACAGCCGACCGTGGCGGATGATTCCCGCCCCGTGAGGATCTTCCTCTCCCGACTTCGCCGCCCTGTACGGCTTTCGTGGGCAACATGGCCTTCGATCTCTCCGAGCAAGATCTCGAGGCGTTCTTTTACGGCCTTTCCGTGCGTTTATACCTCACATCTCACTCCAGGTACTAATGTGTGGCAATATATGTGCAGGTGAAGAGCGTGAAAGTGATCAAGGACCGCGACGATAGGCCGAAAGGCTTCGGCTATGTCGAGTTTGGCAGTCTCGACGATCTCAAGGGTGCGCTGGCGAAGTCTGGAACGGTACGTGTGCTTTTCTGTGGTGCGGATCGGGATGCGCGTTGGGATGGAGATGGGCGGGCTGCGCTGCTGGGACGACATGCGGAATATCCGTAACGTGCACGGGAGTGGCGTCGTATGCGCGAATGGCCTCTGGCACTTGTCTGTCATCACAAGCGCACAGAAATCCTCTCCCATAATCGCTTGGGAGATCTTGCACTGTTGCTAGAGAGGTTGCATCTATTCGAGGCTTCGATGACTTTGCAAGTGTGATGCGCTTGCACCTCTTGCTTTCATCGTGCTGCATCCGACACGAGTCGGGTCCACTCCTTGCGATCACTCCGCCTATGGTTCTCGCGTCGTGCATCTACGAACATTCCCCTGTTGCAAAGTAACTCGAGCGTGTGGAAAACGGATGCCTAGTACAGTTGGCCCAGACAGTATACGCAGAACCAAGCTCTACATATCCTCTTTTACTTTCTACTCCACGCCCCTCACTACACCTGTGATCGCCGTATAGATTGCTGACATCCTCTACAGCCCCTCGCAGACCGCACAGTCCGCATCTCAGTAGCCGAACCGCCAAAAGAACGCGACGGCCGTCCCGGCTTCGGCGGCGGCGACCGCGGCGGTCCTTCGACGACACCAAATTCGAATCCGACTGGCGCTCATTCCGCCCCGGGCCCCTATCCCCCGCGCCCCGTGGCTTCGGCGGCTTCGGCGGCGGCGACCGTGGCGGCTTCGAGCGGCGTCAAGGTGGCGACAGCGGCGGACTCGAGCGCGGCGATCGGCCCCCGAGGGGAGACAGGGAGCCCTTACCGCCCAGCGCGGCCGACACCGCCGACGCCTGGCGCTCGTCGCGCCCCGCGCGCCCCGCTGAGCCCCGCCGAGCCCGAGCGCAAGAGGTCGAACTTCGGCGTCGGAGCCGGATCAGCGGGCGCGGCCGATAACGAGGAGACATGGTCGAAGGGCAGCCGGTTCCAGCCGAGCACTGACGAGCCGCGCCGCGGCGGGTTCGGGGGCGCGAGGGGCAGGGGCAGAGGGAGAGGGAGAGGGAGAGGGAGGAGCAGCCGGCGAGTGTGGCGGAGTCGGGCGGGACGTGGAGGAGGGGGCTGAGCAGGCAGAGTACGAGCCCGACGAGCTCGACGTCGCCGACGCCCAGTGTGGGCGGGCGGAGGCCGTTGAATCTGCTTCCAAGGACTGGAGCGCCGATTGGGACGCCGAGCCCGTTGGCGTCGCCTTCGTTGCCGGGTTCGAAGGCTAATCTGTCTGGGAATGCGAAGTGAGTGTCCTTTTGTGGCCTATTGCTCTTCTCGTTGCTGATCAGGGCGTCGCGAATAGGCCCGTGGACGTGTCGGCTCGTGAAGCAGCTGTCGAAGCTAAGATTGAACGTCAAGCCGCACACGCTACATCGCACCACCCCATGTCCCGCACAGGCAGCCGCACGGCCTCTCAACGCGGTTCGTCGCGCCTGAACGAGAGCACCACCAGCCCAGCCACCAGCCCGCGACCGGCGCATGCCAGCCCCAAGGGTTCACACGACGGCAAGGAGGGCGCCAAGACCAGCGGCTCAGGTGGCGTGTGGAGGGAGGGCTTCAGCTTTGCTGCTGCAGCGGGAAAAAGGATAAGGATGCTGAGGGCGTTGCGCAGAGCTTGAGCGAGGTCACTATCTGAGATTACGGCGCAGAATTAAGTCGAATGTGGTGCTGGCTGGTGTCTATTGATATGTATGCACCCACATGAAGTCATTTTCTCTCTGTATGTTTACGCATGCTTTCTCCTCCTGTCCATCCCCTTGCCCTTGCCCTCTCTGCTAGTTTTCCACTCACTAGTCTCACTAGTACTTATTGGTTCGCGTCTTTTCGTCTTAGTCCCTTTGACTGTCCAACTCCCATTCACGCTCGCACGAACGAAGGATCCCGGCTGTGCATTACGTCTGTAACCTCGGTCCGCACCTCTCCCTCCCATCTTTGCCTGTAGACGCGTGTGCGAGTCCGAGCGCGCAGCGATAAAAGGATGCGCTTTGGTGCTATACAGATACCTGACCGTTCCTCTCTTCTTCGTCTCACGCTGATGGCTGTACTTAGTGCTTGTAAACATGATCCAAGAATATAGAACACGGTAGGGTGGATGAATGAACGATACCAGCTTATGGTGAAGACTCTTATGACCTCTGATGGACTTCAAAGGTCCATGGACCGCATCATTGATCGTTCCGGGTCCGGGGTTCTACTCACACGCTCACCGGACCCGATAACTCCGAGGCGCGCACCTGACCGTGCCCTCCTCGGAGCGCTACAGCTGCGTACACCCTTAGCCTCACATATACTGTCCTGCTACATTACACATTTGCACCCTGCACGAGTGTTCTCACTGGCACGATCCTGCCAGAGGTCAGCGTCCGAGGTGGGTCACAATAACCTCCACATCAATGACTTGCCCGGGACCCGCCATATAAGGCCTACGCAGCACGCGCATGTACAATGCCGGTCACCATATACGGACACGCGTATTTGAGCTACATCAAGGCGTGTCTAAGGCCTGTGCAACTTTGATATATGAGGTACCGATGTTATCGCCTCGCCAGCGACCACACCTCTCCTGAACGCTCTCCTACGCCGGCCGTGGAGATGATCTACGACAGGAAATCGTTGTCGTACGAAGGAGTCCATACCTCGGAGGGAGAGGGAGGAAACCTACATAAGCAGGTGTCCTCTGTTTCCTCTGTACCTCTAACACCCGCGGAACGGCGGGATAGGATATGGACGGCCCGCGCGCTTATGTTCGGCACATGGCTGTTTGCGTCGACGGCCGTCTGTGTCGCGCATCATACATTCCTGCATGTATTGGATGGGTGGGGCGTTGATAATATCGCCATATCGCAGACGTGGGTGAGGGATATTGGGAACACTGTTGCGTGGGCGGCACATTGGATGCTGCAACTATCGGCCGGGGTGGCTTTGACACAAAGCGTGCGTATCCTTATGGGACACATTCTCGAATACGACTGACGCTGTGACCTAAAGATACGGCTATGCATCCGAAGAAACCGCGTCACCTTGAACAACCTCGATGTTCTATTCATCCTTCCAGCCTTCTCGGCTGTCCGATCAACACTCTTCAGCAGCAGTGTGTTCTGCGTCCTCCTACTCACTGTCATCATCCAAGCGCAATCCCTCGTCGACATCTTCGCGCACAGCGCATTGTCCGTCGTATCCGCCAGCGCCATAAAATCGAATTCACGCGTACCCATACCCTCCCTCGATCGCATCTCTGCCACAGCAAGCTCATTCTTGCAGTCTTCGAACTCTGGCATCCTTTACTACATGAACCCGTCGTCAGACTTCCAACGGCTCGCTCGTGGTATTTTGGATGGCAGCGCCATTTTCCCGTGGACCGCTCCGTCAGGATATGATCGAGGATGCGGGTACGAAGTCGAGTACTGGGATCCTGCTCTGAAGCGCACGGACATCCCACAGTCGTCTACTGACGTGTTCAACACGAATTTTACGACGTTCAACGCCGCCCAGGCGGCTCTCGCTCCGGGCATCTAAGTTACCAGCCGCACGAGCTATACAGAAGGCGCGTACGCCTTCAATGCCACGACCAGCTTTAGCTACGGAATGACCTGGATCGATGAATTGGTTCCTATCTTTCAGTCGTATTCAATGCAGCCGTTCAGACTCAGCGATCCTGTCTACTACAACATGGCCGGCTGCACCTGCGCCTTCCACAACGCCTCGTACACGGCCTCGCGGCAGCCAGACGACTACGGCGCGTGTGAAGGAGTACGGCGAGCACCTCGGACCAGTCACGGATCCCGGAGTAGGCAAGGCGGAATATGTGAATGGGAACAATGCAATGTTCCATTCTACGTACGCCGCGAACGGCCTTGCGAGCGCCATGTCGTGATATGTCTACGTGAACATGGCGTTCTCGACGAACTCGGCGAACGACGCGCCAGCGCTGGTGCATATGTATACGAGCATGCTCAGCTCAGTTCTTACGATGCCCACGAGCTTCGACAGTGGAAGAAACATGCTCTCGCTCGCGTTCGTCTTGCCGTACTACGATAACCTCGCCTGCATCTAGAAGATGCATGCACGAACTTGACGACGTCGTTGATGTCTGATATCGCCGATCTCGGACTGTACACACAAGTGGAGGCGAAGGTCGTACCGGAGCACAATATCTACCGCTACCAAGCGCCACGGTCATGGCTTGTATAGGGTATAGCTTCAGCGCTCCGCCGCTAGCCGACGTATATGGACTATACTGCGTGCAGAAGAATGGGTTGGTGATACAGTGCCCGTTTTCGTCTATCGCTGCGTCCGTTAGGAATCGCGGTTTGGACGTGTTGTTGAATGAGCCTGGGGACCATTGTCTAGGAGGGCGGAGCAGGTTGGGTTGCGGTATAGGGATGGTGGCGGGGGAGGGGGGAGAAAGCGGTGTTTGTGTTCGTTAAGGGTGGGTGGGTGTATGGGGATGATCTGTAGATGTCGGAGACGACGGCTTTGAAGAGCGAGGAGGGATTTCGAGAAGCGCATGTTCTAAGCTAATAGACGAAGTCAAATGAGCAGGCTGCTTGTTGTACAATATAGCCACTATCGTGAATGTGCACGCGAAACATCCGTCATGAGCGGGGTGATGAGCGACTAAGGATGATTAATTGATTCTCAGCTGAGAGGCCGGACTCAGCGTCATAAGAGATGTATCGTGTACATTACAGGAAGGAAGGGGTACTCGTGGTCGGTGGCGTCCCGCAGACATGCAGCAGACATATAGGAGCGGGGTCTGCCGGCATCGCCTTCGGGAACTCTCACAGTCGAGGGTCTTGTCGTAACTTGCGACTCTTCCCTCCGCCACCACCTACGCGGTAATCGGTACAATGGATTTCGCACCGTTCAGTCGTCGAATTTCTCCAGAAACATCCGGGCTCGGCACTCGGCGCGAGAAAGCTTTCATACCGTCTTTCTTCAACTGGTCAGCTCTACTTGTCAGCAGCTCGAACACCCGCCGCAAGGCTCTTGCGCAGGCCATCCGCTAGTTTGAGATCAAAGCCGCAGCCGTATCTGTTATACGTCATTCCTCCATCTCGTCTTGCGGACATTCAGGGACTGCATGTAGGCAGGGGTACCTGCAGTGCCTCAGTGTGTGGAGAAGGCAGGGTCTCATGGGGTCCAAACAGTTGTATACAACCCTCGCATGTCGCGATAACCCGACACGACCTGTCAAGCATGTCAAGCCTTCCGTCCCTTCCTACAGATCCCTTATCGCCTACCTAGTCTCGACACAAGACCCTTCTCGCGTCAGGGGTGTCCTCCGAACCTCATCGAGCCTCCTGGCCTACCCGCCATGCTCTACCGGAAAGCACCTTCGAATGACACCGAACAGTCGGAGAAGGGCAGCATGCGGCGGTCGTGGCAAAATCACGTTCTAGCTTGACTCTATCTGTCGCAATGCCGACGCGTCGAAGACGCTTCTCCTCATGTTCGGTGCCCTACTTGTGGCACTGGCAATTTGTCTTGCGCATCATGCCTGACCCACCTCCCTCAATGGGAGAAACATCGACAATTTCGCCCTTTCACAAACATGGCTTCGGGACATCGGGAACGCCTTGGCAGGCATGGTCCAAGTTCTACGCCAGATCTCGGTCGGGATTGCCTTTACGCAAAGTGTAAGTGTCTCTCCTCACTCTTCTTTAGGTATGGCTGATGAACTCCGACAGGTATAGCTATGCATTCGCAGGCGCGCGTTACCTTGAACAACCTCGACGTCCTGTTCTCCCTTCCATTCCTCACCAGCATCCCGTCAAACCAAAGACGATGTTGTTTACGTCCTCATACTCGCAGCGATAGTTCCCTCGCTGTCGCTCGTCAGCATCCTCTCACCCAGCGCGCTATCTGTCGTACCAGCCGAGCTCACCAGCTCCAACGTGAGCGTCCCTGTACCAGCGCTTGGTCGCATACCTGCCAACGCAAACTTCCAGCGACTTGCTCGAGGTGTGCTGGATGGCGACGCCATACTACCATGAGCCCCTCTCCAAGGCTATGGTCGAACATGCAACTACGATGTTGACTACTGGGGACCTGCTTTGCAGTGTAGACGGTCCCTTATTCTTCATCGGCTTGCTCGATGAGAGCATCACGGATCCCTTCGGCGTGAACCACATCGATAGCGTGATTCCAGATCCTCACGTCTCAACCACCAATCCTTCCCACTTCTTGGAGAAGTCGTACGTATACCGCGACAGCCTCCTTCGTAGATGGCACGAGTCTACCCGAAGAGACTACTCAGAAGTCTGAGGGTGACAGTCCGGATAATCAGCCGCTTTCTCTAGACATCATCTACGCCACGAACAACTTCAGCCTGCCAATCGACACGGCATCAGTCCAACACAGCCTGGCTGGATACCATTGCTCTTTCATGAATGCATTACACACTGCTTTCGTGAACTACACAAATGACAGTCAGACAACTACTGCTGTATCATGGAGTACGGCGCGCCGCTTGGGGCACCCTTGGACGTACCCGTGCAGGGCCCCTCATCCGTAATCAACGGATCGGATATCTGCGCTAGGCTTAGTCGGCGCCAAGTCTCAATACATGCGCGGGACAATCGAACTTGATTCAAACTCGGGCGCTCCCTTTGATGGCGCCCATGCGGACGAGCGTACTGGACTCCATCTTCACCACACACACGATCATCGATCGTCCCCCAAGCGAACGACGGAGGCTTCTCGCAGCACTCGAACCTCTTCACACTCTTCCTCCTCTCGACGTCCTACGATGATCTCGGCCACCTGTTGGAAGACGCATGCATGAACCTGATCACCTCCCTGATGGTTGGACACAGGCAACCCCGGTTGTACTCGCAAGTGCGAGCAAACGTCACACTAGAGTTCACCGTGTATAGCTACCAGCCGTTGCGCTTGTGGCTGGTATGCGGTACAGCCTTCGTCGTTACAGACATGTACGGACACGTCTGCGTCATCCAGAATGGCGGGGCGATGCAGCGCTCGTTCTCCTCCATCGCCGCACCCGTGCGGGACCGGGATCTGGACGCGCTTCTTACTACGCTTGAGGAGCTACTACCAGCGCGAGCCGAGAACATCAAGTTGCGCTTTCGCTCTGGAGGATTTGAGAAGGGGGAGAAGGCGGGACTCACGATTGCTGAGTCTCTGAAGGGCGTAGGAGATGTGGAGATGTCTCTGAGGATGTACTTCATAGCTTCATATGTCGTCGTGGGACAGCAGACCCGTGCAGCACCCAAATCGTGAGCTGATCACTATCCGTGACGACTCAATACTCAGACATCTTACAGAGCGAGAATTCTACAGCAACGAACTCATGTCGACGATCGGCTGCATAGTACGTCCTGCGGGATTCGCTCTCCCCTCGAATTTCGGCCGCTTGCCGGCCCGCTAATGATAAACATCAAACCTCCTGTACTGCCCCTCTCAACTACGCTCTCCATCATGTTTTGCGCTTTTGTAAGACCCGTCCCTTATCCTGTTCCGTCTTAGGCCCGCGAGGGATCGACTCCCGAAGTTCGCTCTGTGTGGTCCGCGTGATCCCCCTCACTGTGTGTCCGCCACACTACACAAGCGGGTAGCAGCGTATTTAAATGCGTTGTCAACAATACCTAATATGCGAGCAATAGATAGTGCAAGAGCCACCTAACGACGGGTGACGAATGATTCCAGAACCCAAACGATCTCTGAACGCAGAATTTTGGCTGGGTACATGTACTGAAGCGTGTTGGAGATGCAGGTGAGGTGGATCTTGGCATGACGAGTAAAGTACTGGTATGTCAAATGATGTGGACGAACGTCAATATTACCCCAATCAGTGCCGTGCTGGATCTCCGTTGCACGCTATCGAAGAACGTGTCCGTAGCCGCTGTTCGACACGATCTTCCACGCAGTGAATCTTGAGTAACTGTTGAGCATGATGATGCTCAGTCACTGGTCACCACCACTTGAGCGTTTGCAGATATTTCGTACAATTGTTTCGAATAAGTGTTTGAAGCTCTATTGCAGACTCCGAGATACCAAGTAATCGTATAGATACGCTCAAGGACATATCCGAGTCACTCTTCAAATATCGAGGTAATGTCAACAGGGAGTGCATCCATACTCTTACGAACTGCAGGTTCGTTCGTGCGCACGTTTATTAGGTGCCAAACCTGACAAACATCGCGGTGGGCAGTATCCCAGTGCCTGAAGAGTGATCAATATCCGAACGATGAGAAGTACATACACGAACAACTTACTGGGTCTGACAAATCCTGCTGCAGTAGACGACGCGGTGAGAATTGCTGCATTGTCGAGGGGTCGATTGATCAACGATATTCCGACAGCACTCCATACAGCGCTTCTTGACAGGGTGCCTTCTGACATGGGCCCTGCGCAACGCGAAAAGTTGCGCAGAAGATGACTTAGCAACGGATACAGCGGAAATGGCACCGCGTTCAATAAGTGCCGTAAGCCATTTGTCCTGAATGCAACGACCCTCTAGAGGGGGACTATGCGCTCCGCGGTTATGAGAAGTGTGACAGGCTTGACGTTCATATGGAGCGGTATCTTGGGGTTCAAGATTTCGTAAATGAGGCCAAGCCACGCAGAGAACTGACGACAGCGAAAGTTTCGATAGAATGCGTGTTCTGTTTGACCACTGTGCCTACATGACCATCAGAAATGGATAGCCGTCAGGATATGACATACGCACAGCCGATGCAGAGTGATGGATGCAAGCTGCCGTTTCGTGAATTGAGGTATGAACGGGTAAAGCGAACGAAACCGCTCTGTGCCGCGCCATGAGAAAAGAATGTTGGCGACACGATTCATTGGCCGCATATACATGGCAAAATCGTCGGCTCGTTCGACTGGAAGCGAGAGAATGTGATGAATGTGGAATGCGGCCACGGTCCGTCCAGAATATAGCTGATAAACAAGAGACATGGTGCGAAGCGTGACGGAGATATCCTGCTAGGCCTTGTGAGCTGTTGTACGGCAAGGACCAACTTCAGACGGGCACTAACCTCCGCGTCGCTTGTTACTCCCGATGAAAGAGTCCAGAGAACATCGCAGATCACCAAGTGATGTTCAACAAGGGGTGGATGATGATCTATTGGTGGGAGGAGGTCGATATCGGGGTCGGATGATAGGTTAGCATCTCGCATCTCACGCAGGAGTCCAAGAACGGACGTCCATGTCTTCCCTAGACGGATCTCGAGGGCCTCGAGGGTAGTCACCGCTACGGGGAGAAATTTGGACTCGTCGCTGTGAGGAAGCATGCCGGGTACTAGAGGATGGGGCTCAACCGAGTTGCGCTTACTGTGAGCACTTCGTCAGAATTCTCTTATGTAGTAGGGAAAGCAGGCGGAAGCTTACATGACTCCCCCATGACACTTTCGGCGCCCACCCGGGGATAGCATTTGTACAGTAGATCGGGAATCGTTATCACAGACATGTCGCGGTTCATGAATGGCCGTCGTCGCTTGCACACTTTGCTTTAGCGGTTCTCGCGCCACTCAATCCCGACGGTATCTGGGATAAAGCCGCTGAGGCAGCCGTGCCGCTGGTGGCTTCGCCAGGGTCGAACTCATAAGCGAAAAACGACGCGATGCGCTCGCGATCACGATCTGATAGCGCGCCCACCGGCGTTTCGGCGTTAACCCAATATGAGCGAGAGCTGCAACACTTGCCTTCGACTGGGGGCTTGTCCGGAAGGACGACGACGTCCCAGGTGATATACGGTCGCCTTCTCGTGCCGTGTTCGGCGTCCATGTCGTCCCCTTTTCCCTCCGTGTCTGTGTCCGAGTTTGGTCCGAGTTGTGGCTGTCGTAAGTAGGAAAGCCGCAGATGATCGTGTCAGTAGTTAGGCGCGCAAGCACTTCCCACGCTGAGCCCGCGGGTATACACGTGTGTCAGGGTTCAAACGTTCAAACTCGAGTATTCCCGCGTCCCGCGGGGCCAACCTTGCTCAGAAAATAGGGTATTTCTGCATGTCTTGGGCGCCGTGCGCATGAGAGCCTGTGCACAATGTCTCAACCTAGCCCGTCCCGGGCGGCAACCAGGCGGCGAGTAGTAGTAGTAGTAGTATCACCACCGAAGTGTCCCCTTCTGGCGGAACCCCGGCTAGCTCGTGTTCCCACGCGCGACACGGGTCGCCTACCTCTGTGTGCGGTGTCGGCACTACCTTTAAAGTGTACTACCTCGCGCTCGGGTAGACGAGCTACTTAAATTCAATTCGAGAGCAGTCATAAATGCGCTCAGCATGGTGCGGTGAATTCTGGCGGCCAGACTAGCTCTACAGTGCTAAAGATCTCGAATACTGCTCTAACGAACTTAGCCACGTCGGCAGCCGCATCGGCGGATGATAAGAGGACTTTGAGCGCAGCGACCGCGTCTCCGTCGCAGGCGGGTGGTACGAAGGCGGGTAACCGCC